TTCTTTTTTTTTTTTAATTCTGTTCAGCAGCAGTGAATTCCACTATTCTGTCTTCCAGGTCACTTATCCGTTCTTCTGCCTCAGTTATTCTGCTGTTGATTCCTTCTAGTGTAATTTTCATTTCAGTTATTGTATTGTTCATCTCTGTTTGTTTGTTCTTTAATTCTTCTAGGTCTTTGTTAAACATTTCTTGCATCTTCTCGATCTTTGCCTCCATCCTTTTTCTGAGGTCCTGGATCATCTTCACTATCATTATTCTGAATTCTTTTTCTGGAAGGTTGCCTATCTCCACTTCATTTAGTTGTTTTTTGGGGGTTTATCTTGTCCCTTCATCTGGTACATAGCCATCTTCCTTTTCATCTTGTCTATCTTTCTGTGAATGTGGTTTTTGTTCCACAGGCTGCAGGATTGTAGTTCTTCTTGTTTCTGCTGTCTGCCCTCTCCAGGATAACTTTTAAATAAAATGGGCCATTAACCAAAACAGCCAGTCTCCCAACAAATCTAGACAAATAGGGCTTTACTAATATATGACCTTATTGTTACTGGAAGTGGTTTTCCATTTGGTTTTGTTATGATGATTATTATTTTGGGGTGGAGGCAGAAGGGTTTAAGTAACAAGCTTTTTTTTTTTTCTAAAACTAGGCAACCAAAAAGGCAAATCAAAGTACATTCTTCTTCTCAAAATCTATTTGGCTGTCTGCAGGAGTGAGCTCAGGAGTGAAGTGGTGAGAGGCAGGCCCTGGGGGCTGCTGAATGAACTCTCTCCTCTGGCCCAAGTCTGGCAGGAGACTCGAAGGGGAGGGCCTTCTGAGCTTAAATCTGGTCTCCAGTCAGAGAGAGAGGGAGAAAGAGCAAGTGTGTGATAAATATAGTGGGGCAGAAAGAACAGAGAAGGGAAGCATTCATCATCATATTCACAGAATCCCATAGAGGGTGTGGTAATATCAGGCTGTTGTCCACTTTGTAGTTATTTTACACAAGTGATTCATATCCATTATCATCTTTGTTGTTAGCTGGTCAGAATTTATACTGGTGACTGCACCTATTTGCTGAGGGGCCATGTGTGACCTGGATCTGTAGAGGCCAAAGACTATGTTTTCACATTTAATCCTAAGAACACTCCTTTGAGAAAGATACTACTGTCCTGATTTTACAGATGAGGAATCAAGGCACAGAGAGGTTAAGTGTCATGCCCAAGGGCACACAGGGGGTATTACAAAGTCAGGGTTCCAACCCAAGTTTGTTTGTTTGATTCCTCACCCAGGGGTCTTTCTGGCTCTCATGTGTCCCCAGATATATTAGTTGGTGAGGGCCGCTATAACAAAGCACCAGAAATTTGGTGGCTTAAATAACAGAAATGTATCATCTCATAGTCCTGGAGGCAAGAAATCTAAAATCAAGGTGTTGGCAGAATTGCTACCTTCTGAGGGCTGTGAGGGAAAGATCTGTTCCAGGTTTCTCTCCTTGGCCATCTTCTCTTCATGTCTCTTATATTGTCTTGCCTCTGTCCAAGATTCCCCCGCTTTTATGGACACCAGTCATATTGGATCAGGGCCCATCCTAATGACCTCATTTTAACTTGGTTACCTGTATAAAGACACTGTCTCCAAATAAGGTCACGGTCTGAGGCACTGGGGTTAGGATTTCAACATATGAAGTATTTTTTGGGGGGGGGGGGTTGTACAATTCAACCCATAACATCAGATAAATCACCTACAGGTCACACTATAGCTGCTGCATCTTAGATGCTTTGTTTACAGTGAGGCGACTTTTCCTATCACTCTATATTGTCTGTGACCATTCTGTTTAATCTGTTAACCAACAGCCATGAACATTGTCACCTTCCAAGTGGGCCTGCTCACTGGAGTGAGCTTGAGGTCAATAAAGCATTCAGCGGGCTCTAATTTAATTAGCCAAGTTAGTGGGACAGCTGCTTCATAACTCTGGCTCATGAACTGGCAGAGATCAGAGATGAGACTGGCAGAGCTCTTTGTTGATCCCAGGCATCCCTGATGCAGCTCCAAGCCCTAAGAACTTCGCTCCTGTTCTGGCAGGAAACGAGAGGGAAGATGAACTGGCATTTGGAATTTCCTACCCTGGATGTATCTTTTAAAAGTATATGGGAACCACAGTCAAAGTCAAGGCCCTGCATTTTCATCTGCCTCTTTCCTCATCTTGCCACATAGCAAGTCCGTTCTCTTCCATAATTTAAAAGGTTTCTGAAAATCCCCTCCAACTGGATTTGTCAGCTGCTTCCACCCTGCCTGTCCAAGCTGGCCAAGTTCTTCAAGCCTCTTCCTGTCTCCCCCACCTAAACCCCAGCCCTAGACCTGCCTCTTAGTCCAAGGGCACTGATGTTGTCAGTCTTTCTGTGGTCTTTCCAGGTCTGTGGGAGGCAGCCCTGGAGAGGGGGGAGAGAGCTCTGGATCTAAAGTCATAAGATTCTGGCTTACCTGTTGCCCCCGTCACTTGGCCCACCAGCGTGACCTTGGAGTGGTCAGAATGGCCATAATCAAAAAAATCTACAAACAATAAATGCTGGAGAGGGTGTGGAGAAAAGGGAACCCTCTTGCACTGTTGGTGGGAATGTAAATTGATGCAGATACTATGGAGAACAGTATGGAGGTTCCTTAAAAAACTAAAAGTAGAATTACCAGATGACCCAGCAGTCCCACTACTGGGCATGTACCCTGAGAAAATCATAATTCAAAAAGAGTCATGTACCACAATGTTCACTGCAGCACTATTTACAATAGCCAGGACATGGAAGCAACCTAAGTGTCCATCGACAGATGAATGTCTAAAGAAGATGTGTCACATATATACAATGGAGTATTACTCAGCCATAAAAAGGAACAAAATTGGGTCATTTGTAGAGATGTGGATGGACCTAGAGACTGTCATACAGAGTGAAGTAAGTCAGAAAAAGAAAAACAAATATCGTATATTAACGCATATATGAGGAATCTAGAAAAATGGTATAGATGATCTTATTAGCAAAGCAGAAATAGAGACACAGACATAGAGAACAAAGATATGGATACCAAGGGGGAAAGTAGGGGGAGATGAATTGGGAGATTGGGATTGACATATATACACTATTGACACTATGTATAAAATAGATAACTAATGAGAACATACTGTATAGTGCAGGGAACTCTACTCGATGCTCTGTGGTGACCTAAACAGGAAGGAAATCCAAAGAAGGGGGAGATATGTGTATTCAGATAGCTGATTCACTTTGCTGTATAGTAGAAACTAATACAACGTTGTAAAGCAACTGTACTCCAATAAAAATTACTTAAAAATATAACAACAAAAAAAAATGGAGATAGAAGTCCCTTCTTAGCTTACCTCCCAGGGTGGTCATGTAAACAAAATAAACTTCAAAGGAGCTGTCTCCACACACGATGATGTAAAAACAAAGAAAAATCTGATTTTGCAGATGTACAATATGACATATTACTGGGGCCATTTTGTTGACTCTGTTCTGCGTGTGTGTGTCTGCGTTGGTCTGTGAATTCCAAGAGTAGAGAACTTTGCTCAGTGCCCCAGCCCCATTGCATGCAGTCAGCCATTGATGGGCTTTGGATAATTGATGAAAGCCAGTCTTGGAGAAGAAAGAAAAGACCAGTGAGTGCCAAAGTGGGTATCAAAGAAAGTTGCACATGGAGAGAGTGACTTATTTTCTCTGCTCGAGATTTTACAGTCACGTCAGTCATTAAACATTGATTTAAAGTGTTAGTTATTGCTGACCTGGAGCAGATGTTTAGGAAATTACTTTTAATCAACCACATAACTGATATTTTTTGCTACTCCTTTGTGTCTTAATTAAAGCAGATGAAAAATGCCCTTTGTGTCCAATAGTGACAGCACTGACTCACCATGTGGGGAGTTCTTCTCACAGTCCATATTCAGCTGAGCATTTCATAAGTTTAGGTCTTCAGATATAAATTTGAACAGCTCCCAAAGTAAATGGCTTTTTTTTTTAATGGCTTTTAAACAAAGTGAAAAAGAAGTCTTTGCTAAATGAAATGAGCAATTTGGGGGGTCACTTTTATTTACAGTATGTAAATTACAAACTTGATATTTTATTTCTGAGCTTGAGAAATCGTTCAGGAACAATGGATGGTTCTTTGTAGACTTCGAAATCATTTCCTAGAATATGGGTTGGGTCATTTTTTTTGTCTGAAGATTTGAACAAGGGTGGTTTTGTTTCTCTTTCCTCCTAGGAATGCAGGATCCCACATGGGGAGAGAGAGCTGCTTTCCTGTCCTTCCCACTCTTCAGGGCTGCCTTAGTGGCTGATGAGGGAGAGTGCAGAGCAGGGACAGAATGGGACTGTGATGTGTTGGTTACTGGGCCTGGTGCTAGGAATAACTATATTTATACAAAAAAGAAGCCATTAATTTTGGATTTGGGGGATGAGAGGAGAAGTTTTGTGATAGGTTAGCAGTTGAGCTATATCTTGAAGCACCAGCAGTTTTCCAATTATGAAAACATGAGGGAAGCATAGCCTAAGCAGAGACATGGGGGTGGGAGTGGAGGTTCTGCTTAAGGAATATTCTAGGATTTTGATTGTAGTTGGAATATAGGGTCCAGGGAAGGAAGGATGCAATGAAACATGAGGCCAGAAAGATTAGTTTGAGATTAGATCATGAGGTGCATTGAATAGTTAGCCTAAAGAATTTGAATTTGATCCTGCAGGCAATGGGGAGTCAGTGAAGGCTTATGCAAGGAGCAGAGTGGTCTGGCCTGACCTTTGTTTAGGAAGGAAACCTGGTAGCCACTTGGAGGATGGATTGTGAGGGGGAAAGAAGGGAGGCAGGGAGATTGCTTAGGAGGCGAGGGATCACAGGAGTCTGAACTAAGGCAGTAGGGTAGAACCTTCCTGGCTGGGCAGGACGGTGGAGGGGAGGAAATAAAATTGGCAACTACACATGTTGATTGGTTGATTGCTGCAACAAATCTTTACTGAGTACTTACCATGTGCTAGACACATGTGCAGCTGTGAGGACAAAGATGAAGAGGACAGGGTCCCTGATGTTGAGGACTTGCCACTGAGTAACCCTCACATGTCACATGTGCGCGTGGTGCATGGGCTGCTAGAGGGGCGATCCAGGGTGGGGACTGTCTGGGGTGTTGGGAAGGTAGAGGGACATTTGACTTGGGTCTTAAAGGATGGTGGCAAGCTGATCATGTCCCTGGGCTGCTTTTTAAAAATGATTGCCATTGCTCTGGGGATAAGGACCGATCTTTACCTTGGCTCTAAAGGCTCTGCCTAATCTGGCCTACCCACCGCTCCAGCCTCTGCTCATCTCTTCTCTTCATTCACCCACTCTGGCTTCTTTCAGTCCCTTGAGGGCACCTCACTCCCTCCTGCCACAGGGAATTTGCCTGTTGCCTTTGCTTGGAGCACTCTTGCCACCCCCAGATCCCAGCCCAATCGCCCCTTCCTTGGAGAAGGCTTTGCTGAGTCTTCAGACTCAGTCATATGCCTGTTACATGCTCTCATTAGCACCTCGTACCTCTCATAGCACTTCTTCGGAGCTGTAACTGTGCACTTTCTGTGGTCCTTTGATTCATGGGGATCTCCTCCCACTAACTGGCAAACTCCAACCAGGCAGGGATCGTGTCTGGTTTTGCTCAGCATTGTATCTTTGGTGTTTGCACAGTGCCTGGCACATAGTACATTCTTAATAAATATACATTGGCTGACTGATGGACTAAAATAATTAACTAGTAAAAGGGGGAAGGGTATTTCAGGAATAGGGGACAGCATGAACACAGGTGCTGTGGTTTAGTCTAAGAAGGACTAGTGACTGGCTTAAGGGGAGGAAAAAGATGAGGCTAGAAAAGTATGTTGGGTAAACTTGGAAAGAACCCTCCGTGCTATGCTAAGGACACCCTGGGTGCAAGTTAGGTGCTCCCACCACACCCTGTTCTTCCCCATCAGAGACTGCACTCTTATTGTTGGCTTGATGGAGCTAGACTATAAATTCCTTGAGGGCAGGGGCTCTGCCTGACTCATTCATTAATGTAACTCCAGAATCTAGAACAGTGCCTGGCACTTGGTAGGACCAACAAACACTTGCTGAATTAATGAATGAGTAAATGAATGAATGCTGTTATCATGGGAGCTTGGGGAGCCATGGAAGGTTTTTCATCTATTTAGACTTGCTCTAGGAAATGTTACTTTGGCAGCATGGTAGAAAAAAGAATGGTCCATTTTCATTTATTTTATCCTTCCATATTGATACTTGAGCATCTGGATAGGCTGAAAAGAAGTAAAGGTACAGACTGATTAGAATGGAATAGACTGGAGGCAGGAGATCAACTGGGTGGCTGTTACAGTCATTCTGGGGAAGATCCTGGTGGCTGGTCATGCAGGGGGCTGTGGGTTTGGGAGAGGGGTAGATTTGAGAGATGACCAGTTTGAATGACTGATGGAAAGTGAGGAGTTAGGAGCAGGCAAAGATGAGCCCAAGATATTCCAGATTTCTACTTGCCAAGAAAAATTCAAACTTCTTGCCAGTGGGGTCTTGCTGGAGAGGGAAGGGGGCAGTGAGGGGAGAAGACTGAGTAGGTGTCACCACCAGGCCCTTTAGGGCCCTTCTGAGGGGCTGCCCTCCACACTTCCTTGGGCATCCCCTATTCTAGACTTCGGTCAGAATAACAAGACAGAAGAGAGTGCTCAGAGACAGTATCCTAATGAGTAAGCAGCTGATTACCATATGAGACCACAGAGATTTCTTTTCCTTCTAAATATACTTTATCCATTTCTTTGTATCCAAAGCAAGCAATATGGCAACAGACACTTGGGGTTTCTTCACTGCTTATCGATATGCAGTAATGGTCTGGAATAAGGTAACTGGATCTAGCGTTTTCCCAGTTTTCACTCATTAAAGCTTCCCTCTTATTAGACTTAGGAGTCTAATAAGAGTCATTCATTTCTTCATTGAGAAAACCACTCTACAGAGGGCTGGATGGAAAGAGTATGTGCCTGGGCCTCATTAGGCTGTGGGATGGCAGTAGAGGGTCTGGTGGCTTGAACTAACCTCAGTGGGATGACCCAAACAGAACTTGAAGGAGGTGGGGGCTGTTTGAGGGGATCCGGGGGTACCATGCATACATGCTACAGATAGACTGGATGAGGATGGGTGATGCATTGTTGGTAGACAAAGCCAAAGAAGGGAGTGGGATGGGACTGAGGGGGATGTACAGAGTGTTCCAGAATCTCCAGACTGCATCTTACACCATGCATGCTTTCCACCTGGAGCACTAACATTTCCGTCTCCAGAGGATAAAGAGAGAGTGATTATGGAGGCTGTTTAAGCAAGTCTGAAAACTGTATGGGAGGCAGTCAGAGAAGATCACGGGCAGGCTTAAATCCACAAACAAGGATTGAAGCTGTCATTCACTGGCAGACACAAAGGGGAGATCATGATCACGATGGAACTCCATAGGCACTGGCCAGAGCTGTGGTCCACAGGCGGAATTTCTTCTCTCTAAGCCTGCCTGCTTAGTGAAAAAGTGGCTTGTGGGGGCATGTATGGGAGTGGGGAAGACCCTGGACCAGGTGTCAGGAGACTTGGGCTTGGATGGCCTCCAATATGCTGTGGCTTGTTCACCTTTCAGAGCATCAGTTTTCTCCTCTGATAGGAGAGATGGTAGATTCAGTGGTCTCTTTAAAAGAACTTTATAGAGTCATTTTCACAATGTTGATTCTTCCAATCCAAGAACATGGTATATCTCTCCATCTGTTTGTATCATCTTTAATTTCTTTCATCAGTGTCAAAATTTTCTGCATACAGGTCTTTTGTCTCCTTGGGTAGGTTTATTCCTAGATATTTTATTCTTTTTGTTGCAATGGTAAATGGGAGTGTTTTCTTAATTTCACTTACAGATTTTTCATCATTAGTGCATAGGAATGCCAGAGATTTCTGTGCATTAATTTTGTATCCTGCTACTTTACCAAATTCATTGATTAGCTCTAGTAGTTTTCTGGTAGCATCTTTAGGATTCTCTATGTAGAGTATCATGGCATCTGCAAACAGTGACAGCTTTACTTCTTCTTTTCCGATTTGGATTCCTTTTATTTCTTTTTCTTCTCTGATTGCTGTGGCTAAAACTTCCAAAACTATGTTGAATAATAGTGGTGAGAGTGGGCAACGTTGTCTTGTTCCTGACCTTAGTGGAAATGCTTTCAGTTTTTCGCCATTGAGGATGATGTTGGCTGTGGGCTTGTCATATACGGCCTTTATTATATTGAGGAAAGTTCCCTCTACACCTACTTTCTGCAGGGTTTTTATCATAAATGGGTGTTGAATTTTGTCAAAAGCTTTCTCTGCATCTATTGAGATGATCATATGGTTTTTCTCCTTCAATTTGTTAATATGGTTAATCACATTGATAGATTTGCATATATTGAAGAATCCTTGCATTCCTGGAATAAACCCCACTTGATCATGGTGTATGATCCTTTTAATGTGCTGTTGGATTCTGTTTGCTAGTATTTTGTTGAGGATTTTTGCATCTATGTTCATCAGTGATATTGGCCTGTAGTTTTCTTTCTTTGTGACATCCTTGTCTGGTTTTGGTATCAAGGTGATGGTGGCCTCGTAGAATGAGTTTGGGAGTGTTCCTCCCTCTGCTATATTTTGGAAGAGTTTGAGAAGAATAGGTGTTAGCTCTTCTCTAAATGTTTGATAGAATTCGCCTGTGAAGCCATCTGGTCCTGGGCTTTTGTTTGTTGGAAGATTTTTAATCACAGTTTCAATTTCAGTGTTTGTGATTGGTCTGTTCATATTTTCTATTTCTTCCTGATTCAGTCTTGGCAGTTTGTGCATTTCTAAGAATTTGTCCATTTCTTCCAGATTGTCCATTTTATTGGCATAGAGTTGCTTGTAGTAATCCCTCATGATTTTTTGTATTTCTGCAGTGTCAGTTGTTACTTCTCCTTTTTCATTTCTGATTCTATTGATTTGAGTCTTCTCCCTTATTTTCTTGATGAGTCTGGCTAATGGTTTATCAATTTTGTTAATCTTCTCAAAGAACCAGCTTTTAGTTTTATTGATCTTTGCTATTGTTTCCTTCATTTCTTTTTCATTTATTTCTGATCTGATTTTTATGATTTCTTTCCTTCTGCTACAAAAAAACAAACAACCCAATCCAAAAATGGGCAGAAGACCTAAATAGACATTTCTCCAAAGAAGATATACAGATTGACAAGAAACACATGAAAGAATGCTCAGCATCATTAATCATTAGAGAAATGCAGATCAAAACTACAATGAGGTATCACCTCACACCAATCAGAATGGCCATCATTAAAAAATCTAGAAACAATAAATTCTGTAGAGCATGTGGAGAAAAGGGAACCCTCTTGCACTGTTGGTGGGAATGTAAATTGATACAGCCACTATGGAGAACAGTATGGAGGTTCCTTAAAAACCAAAAATAGAACTACCATACGACCCAGCAATCCCACTACTGGGCATATACCCTGAGAAAACCATAATTCAAAAAGAGTCATGTACCAAAATGTTCATTGCAGCTCTATTTACGGTAGCCAGGACGTGGAAGCAACCTAAGTGTCCATCATCAGATGAATGGATAAAGAAGATGTGACACATATATACAATGGAATATTACTCAGCCATAAAAGAAACGAAATTGAGATATTTGTAGTGAGGTGGATGGACCTAGAGTCTGTCATACAGAGTGAAGTAAGTCAGAAAGAGAAAAACAAATACCGTATACTAACACATATATATGGAATCTAAGGGAAAAAAAAGTTCATGAAGAACCTAGGGGTAAGACGGGAATAAAGACACAGACCTACTAGAGAATGGACTTGCAGACACGGGGAGGGGGAAGGATAAGCTGGGACAAAGTGAGAGAGTGGCATGGACATATACACTACCAAACATAAAATAGATAGCTAGTGGGGAGCAGCCGCATAGCACAGGGATATCAGCTTGGTGCTTTGTGACCACATAGAGGGGTGGGATAGGGAGGGTGGGAGGGAGGGAGATGCAAGAGGGAAGAGATATGGGAACATATGTATATGTATAACTGATTCACTTTGTTATAAAGCAGAAACTAACACTTGTAAAGCACTGTAAAGCAATTATACTCCAATAAAGAT